CCGCCTCACATGTTTACGATTATCAACTGAACGTCCGAAGAGGGCAAGCTACCACTTCTGAGATGATACAGTTAAACTATCAGAACAACCCTCAACTGTGCTTAGAGAACACTGCTGTGGAAGAAAAACCTATTGAATCAATGTCTTGCAACGATCTTGGTTTGAAGGACATATTCCTAAGTCCGTCCACCTCGTACAGTGACATAATTTCCATCACACATGACGATTCTGTTTCATCTTATGGCCTGAAGGACATGTTTCTATCGCCTTCAACTTCATTGGGTAACTTGAGTGCCATTACACACGATGATTCCGTTTCATCTTATGGCCTGAAGGACATGTTTCTATCGCCGTCAACTTCATTGGGTAACTTGAGTGCCATTACACACGATGATTCTGTTTCATCTTATGGCCTGAAGGACATGTTTCTATCGTCCACTTCTTTAGGAAACTTGAGTGCCATTACACACGATGATTCTGTTTCATCTTATGGCCTGAAGGACATGTTTACATCGTCCACTTCTTTAGGAAACTTGAGTTCCATTACACAGGATGATTCCATTTCATCTTTTAACCTGAAGGACATGTTTCCATCRCCGTCCACTTCTTTGGGTAACTTAAGCGACATTACTCTTGACAATACTATGTCGTCACTGACATCAGAGAACAAATTTGGATCATCATTTTCATCCTGCAGCGGTTTTCATCTGTTTGATGATGTTACTCCTGCTAGTGTATACCCCGAATATGATCTTCCCACTGAAGTCGCGGAGAGTGTACCAGTCTATGTTTACATGGCGAACATTGAATCTGAAGAGGAGGCAAGGCAGCTSTGTGATSATGAATCTGCAGAAATAARTTCATCACCRTCGWCAAGTGACAWTACTAGTATTTCGGRTACWAAGRAATCTAAGYTTGACCTTGATTCGTTGTCTTCTGTACACCAATTTGTACGTGAAACGCCTCTACTAGAAGAAATGCATGAAGTTAAAGCAGATGAAGTCACTCCTCCTCGCTCGAAACCCTCACGTTTAAGGAGACTGAAGAGTTTTCTTAAAAGTTTGAACATATTTGCTGGAGCTATCTGTGGTAAGATTGCATGTACCTTTGTACAAAATAATCTCGTCATGTAAAGAAACTTTGTTGACTGGACTTTGTACAAATCACTTCTTCAAGTGACCAATCGCTCTCCATGTCCAATGACGCCAAGAAACCGAACACATATAACTTTTTGTAATCCTGGGAACTATAAAATGAACATTTGTTGTATATAACGAAAGCGGATTTTTATTGTATATAGATAGAACCTCATTGTCAATATTATTCTGATAATGTAGATAACGTAAAAATAATGGATTGTAAATAAAATATATCTTGTAATTGTTACATGAATATTCTTTCGATGCCTGAGGGTGGGATGTTTAGCTCAATGTCGGTAGTAATGCTRTTGTCCCAATCGCTCAAAACGCGTTMATGTATTGTTACGTTCTAGTTCTTTTTCGTGGAAATACRGTTACATGGACACTAGTCCCGAATATATCAAGCAATCGAGTTKTCTTCTTCAGCTTTGATATATCGATTGGCTGAACGACTGCTACGCATTTTTTATGATTGAGTCGTGTTTATTTTTCCTTTTGCAATCTATCTTCTGAATTGGATATCATGCGCGGTTAAGGTGAATGTTTAGACTTCATCGAGGTCATGCATAATGATATAAAGAATCAGAGCAAAATGACCGCCCAGTCATGCGTTTTGAGGCAAAATTTTAAAAAACAGTAACGTCACAGCATCTTTCAAATAGCATGCAGTACCATATATTGTTAGGACGCGAGTTAACGCTCTGAAAGCGTCTAGTTGTTTGATATCATTGATGTTACGTTACATTCTTACTTAAAATTTATATATTAAATACCACATTTCTTATAGCAGGACTTATTACAATATCTGACAAACAATTTTTAATTCTCATTAGGTTTTCTGTAATATTCGAGAGCGGTTCTTARACCCGTGAAATGGTTTTCGAATATATGAATAATACTATTTATCAATACCCACAACACGCGCAATATTTTTTTGCTACTATCAGTGTCAAAGGTTTTTTTAATCTAAATACATGAAATTGTTTCGAGTGTATAAATGACTGATATTTTATTTATCAGTATCCATAACACGCGCAATGTTTTTT